CTTCTTTCAGACTTCAATGTGAAACAAAATATGTGATGCAAATCTGAACTACTAATAATGAAACCAGATTATTTTTTTAGGATGGAATAGTTTATTTCAACAGTGGGACCAGCAGGGATATTAAAGGCAGCAGATTTTCTTTTGAATACTAGCCATTTTTTCTCTTTACAAATCATTATTAAAAATAAGTACTAGATGTGTTACTCTGGCTTATAAATCTTTAGAGAACCTTGTTGGCAGATTTCTATCACATTAACTGGCAAGGAAAGGGGATGGACCTCTTAAACTTAACACTTTAAAAAGCTTTACCTTCTGCTCTGGGTGGGAGGTTGGAATAAAAGTTACCACCTAACTCTTAAAAAAAAAAAAAAAAAAGCTTTACTGTGGGAATTCCCTGGCAGTCCAGTGGTTTGGACTCAGTGCTTTCACTGCCAGGGCACAGGTTCAAGCCCTGATCAGGGAACTAAGATCCCACGAGCCGCTCAGCACAGCCAAAAACAAAAAAGAACATAAAAAGCTTTACAGTGGGGATTCCCTGGTGGCGCAGTGGTTGAGAGTCCGCCTGCCGATGCGGGTTCGTGCCCCAGTCCGAGAGGATCCCACATGCCGCGGAGCGGCTGGGCCCGTGAGCTATGGCCGCTGAGCCTGCGCGTCCGGAGCCTATGCTCCGCAACGGGAGAGGTCACAACAGTGAGAGGCCCGCGTACCACAAAAAAAAAAAAAAAAAAAGCTTTACAGTGATGGGAGAGAGGGGTCACACAGTCCAAATCTACCTGTTTCCCTCCACTCTTACTTTCTGGTTCAAGTCACCAGCCTCTCTCACCTGTCCTAATACAACAGCCAGTAAAGTCTCCTGGGTTCCACTTCTGTTACCCACCCACCCACCCCACCCCCCTTATCCTCAGAATCCAGTCCTCACACAGTGGTCACAGCAGATCTTTCTCAAAACACACTCCCTTACTTTTTGAGCCCTCCAATGGCTTTCCTTTACACCTAAGGGACCTCTTACCCTGGCTTACAAAACCTTAAATGATTAGCCCCTAACTCTGGCCTCATTCTGTACCACTCTCCCCCTTGCCCACTACATTCCAGCCACAGTGACTTCCCATCTACTCCCCAAACACCCGAAAGGCTCAAATGGCTCTATGTCACCTGGTTCCCAAGGCCTGGAATGCTCATCGCCCAGATCTTCCCATGGCTGGGCTCCTTCTTCACATGCGGATCTCAACTTAAGGGTCACTTACTCAAAGAATCCTTCTCTGACCACATAATCTCAGTCACTCCTTATCACATCACCTTTTAGTCTCTTCCACAGCACTTGTCTCTGGTATTTTTATTTCTTTGTTTACTTACTACTGGTCTTTTCTCACTAGACTGAAAACTCCTGAAAGAAGAGACATTATATTGGGTTGGCCAAAAAGTGCCTTTGGTTTTTAAGTAAAAATAAAAAACACATTTTTCATTTTCACCAAGAACTTTATTGAACAACATATTCACCCTTTTGTTCCACTACCTTATGCCATTTTTCAGGCAACTTCATAATTCCATCTTCCCAAAACTTTTTATCTTTTTTAAAAATTTTATTTATTTATTTATATTGGCTGTGTTGGGTCTTCATTTCTGTGCGAGGGCTTTCTCTAGTTGCGGCGAGCGGGGGCCACTCTTCATCGCGGTGCGCGGGCCTCTCACTGTCGCGGCCTCTCTTGTTGCGGAGCACAAGTTCCAGACGCGCAGGCTCAGTAGCTGTGGCTCACGGGCCCAGTTGCTCCGCGACATGTGGGATCTTCCCAGACCAGGGCTTGAACTCGTGTCCCCTGCATTGGCAGGCAGATTCTCAACCACTGCGCCACCAGGGAAGCCCAACTTTTTATCTTTTTGAGCAAGGAACTGGTCCAGATGCCTTTTACAGTCTTCCAGGGAATTGAATTTTTTTCCATTAAGAGAATTTTGTAAAGACCGAAATAAATGGAAATCTGAAGGTGCAATGTCTGGTGAATATGGCAGATGAATCAGAACTTCCCAGCCAAGCTGTAACAGTTTTTGTCTGGTCATCAAAGAAACACACAGTCTTGCGTTATCCTGATGGATATTCTGTTGACTAATTCCAGATGCTCTTCATCGAGTGCTGCTTTCAGTTGGTCTAACTGGGAGCAGTACTTGTTGGAATTAATCGTTTTGTTTTCCGGAAGGAGCTCATGGTAGAGGACTACCTTACAATCCTACCATGTACAAAACATCACCTTCTTTGGATGAAGGCCAGCCTTTGGTGTGGTTGGTGGTGGTTCTTTTCGCTTGCCCCACGATCTCTTCTGTTCCACATTATTGGACAGTATCCACTTTGCATCTCCCATCACAATTTATTTTAAAAGTAGAACATTTTCGTTACGTTTTAGTAGAGAATCGCATGTGGAAATACGGTCAAGAAGGTTTTTTGCACTTAACTTACGTGGAAACCAAACATCAAAGTGATCAACATAACCAAGCCGGTGCAAATGATTTTCAGCGCTTGAGGATATTTTGAGTATGTCGGCTATCTCTCGCGTGGCACAATGTTGATTGTTTTCAATTAATGTCTCGATATGATCAACTGGTCTACCCAACCATGGAGCATCGTCCAGTGAGAAATCTCCAGCACAAAACTTCGCAAACCACTTGGGACACATTCAATCAGTCAGAGGACCCTCTCCATACACTGCACAAATCTTTTTTTGCATTTCAGTTGTGTTTTTACCTTTCTTGAAATAATAAAGCATAATACGCCAAAAATGTTGCTTTTTTCTTCCATCTTCAATATTAAAATGGCTACACAAAAATTCACCAATTTGAGTTTTTTCTTTTTTTAAATGCACACTGATATGTCAGCTGTCACAATACAATCTAACAAAATTGTTTCGAATGAAGTTGAAGACAACTAAGTGCTATTAGAGCCACCTTACAGAAAAAAAGAATGAACCTTTTGGCCAACCCAATATATCTTCTTTACACCTATATCCCCAGTACCTAAAATAGCTTCTGGCACACAGTAGGTGTATTCACTAAACATCTGCTGAATGAATAAGTGGGGAATTACTACCCACACTTCAAGAATAAGTTCATAGGCAGAAACTAATTTCCCTGACGTCCCCAGGCTCCTGACACTAACTCCTTTATTCTTCTCATTTACTAATGTTTCTATTATAGTACTTATCAGAATTTATTGCATTTTTTTGTTTACGTGCCTGTCTTCCCCTCCTGCAATGCAAAACTTCTCAAGGTCAAGGAGCCTTTTTTGGAATCCATTTTTATATCCACAACACCAAGCTTGGTCTGGAATGCAAAGGAGCTTAAAAATCTTTGCTGTATGATGATGAGGAGGAGGGGGAATGACAGGAACAGCTAACACGCAGTGAGCGTTAACTACATGCAAAGAACATTTCCCATGGATTATCTCTTTAAATCCTTGCAACAATCCTGGAGGATAGGTACAATTATTTCCTCCATTTTGGAAATGACAAAACGCCCAGAGAGGTTATAAATAACATGCCTGAGATAACTACAGTAATAAGTGGCAATGTAATCTATCTAATCAATCTAACACCCAACTTAATGCTCTTATCCCCAACCTTCTATGTTAGCATGAACCATAAGCTGTTCTCAAATAAATGCATGATAGCACGTAAGTGACAAAACCAGGAGTTAACACTGACAGTACACTGTACTTTACAGCGATGTTGAAAATATTAAGAAACAATCAAGAAATGGGGAGGAGGGCTTCCCTGGTGGTGCAGTGGTTGAGAATCTGCCTGCCAATGCAGGGGACACGGGTTCGAGCCCTGGTCTGGGAAGATCCCACGTGCTGCGGAGCTACTAAGCCTGTGTGCCACAACTACTGAGCCTGCGCTCTAGAGCCCATAAGCCACAACTACTGAGCCCGCGTGTCACTACTGAAGCCCGCGCGCCTAGAGCCCACGCTCTGCAACAAGAGAAGCCACCGCAATGAGAAGCCCGCATACTGCAACGAAGAGCAGCCCCCACTCGCCGCAGCTAGAGAAAGCCCGTACGCAGCAACGAAGACCCAATGCAGCCAAAAATAAATTAATTAAACAAATTTATTTAAAAAAAAAAAAAGAAATGGGGAGGATCATGGAGCCTTGCCACATACCAGAAGCAATAAAATGATTGGTTAAAATTGGAATTCTTCCCAAACACTCAGAACATTTCTGAGTAGAAAAATGTCAATAAGAAAACCTGATGACTGGGAAAAGAATAACTGATAAAATGGGAAAAGTTCCCAACATATGTTACTAACTGATACAGCTCTTCCAAAAATGATACAGTTGATAACTGAGAAGGAGCAACACGTAGATTTTTAAGACAGGCACTACCAGTTTTCATGTTCATAAAATCTTAACTGATGTAAGCACAAAGAAACGTTTCAAATCAAATGCAGCTTATTTTTTAAAGATTATTTTGAAGCTCTAAAGACAGGCAACACTCTGTATCATTTACACTACTTTCTTTCCTAGCATGAAGTAGGGCAACTTTTAAGTACAATCACAAGGAACCTCTTCTAACTTACTGCCCAACCCCACTGACCAACTTTCCTGAGAAGAAATCAGGCAAATCCTATGCCGTGAAGTAGCAAAGCCAGTGAAGGCCTACCTCTCTCAGTCTTGAGACCTACTTCAGACGCACAGTGTTACTACCTATCACTATAAAAGTTTAGAGGCTAATTTAGAGGTTACCAAGTGCCAGATAAAGTGAGCTTTTATACATACTCTCATTTAACTTTAAAACCCTGCCTGTTACAGATAGTATAATCTTTGTTTACAAACGAGAGGACTGAGGGTAAGACTATTCAAGGTTATAGAAGCTACAAAATAGAGAAGCAAGAACTATCCAGATTAGGCCCTCTCCATTATACAACACTGCCTCCCACAAAGGTAAGTGGTTCCATTTTTCCTGGTCATGGTCATGATGTTATCTCTTAGAAGGGAGATGAATTGCTGCTTAACACTTAACGGAGCCAACTTTGAACCAGGCTAAGTAGTTGGACTTTCACCCATCATCTCATTTAATCCTCCAGCAATCCTTATGATATGGGGTCCCATTTTACAGATGAAGAAACTGACACTAAAGGAGATCAAATAAGTCATCAATAACACAAACTTAACTGGAGACTATGAATTCAAATCTGTATCTAACTCCAAAGACCATACCTTACCATCTTACAGGGCTTCATTGAAGGCACAAATAGTCCATTAAAGCCACTGGTCATGGTCACGGATAAAAAACACCTTTATAAAAAGGATTCGAGGACCTGGTGGCACAGTGGTTAAGAATCCGCCTGCCAATACAGGGGACACGGGTTCGAGCCTTGGTCCGGGAAGATCCCATATGCCATGGAGCAACTAAGCCCATGTGCCACAACTACTGAGCCCTCGCACCACAATTACTGAAGACCGCCCACCTAGAGCCCCTGCTCCACAACAACAGAAGCCACCTCAAGGAGAAGCCCGGCACCACAACGAAGAGTAGCTCCCGCTCGCCGCAACCAGAGAAAGCCCACGCGCAACAACAAAGACCCAATGTAGCCAAAAATAAATTAATTAATTAAAGAAAAAAGGATTTGATACAACTCTTATAGCCATGTTACAATGGTTGTTTCCATTTCCCAAGATCTATAAGTAACCCTGAGTTTCTAAAACAAAGAACAGTACATAAAAATGCAAACATACATGATAGGAACCACAGTCCTGAACGTTATAGTCAGAGAAATCCTGACAAGCCCATGATATATAAATTGTCATATCTACACTAAACCAAACTATGTAAATTATGCAAAGACTTCCTTTCATAAATCATCTGCACTATAATACCATATAACCACACTCTTGTTCCAACTATTTCACAAATAAAATCTGTCCAGGTAAAATATATGATCTGTACAGTCAATGTTTCAGGCAAAATCAAAAGCCCTACTTTGGTAAAGACCTGTCTCCATAAGTAAATAACAATCATTCAGGGCCCTATCTCATCCTGCATAACACCCTCCACAGCATAAGTTTCTTTTTTGTTTTTTGTTTCTACAATGCTGCAGATGGAGGAACCAAGAAGTGATTAGTTATCTTTCTCAATATCACAATCAGAAATCTACAAATAAAACTTGTGTCTACAACCTTTCCCAATATCACTAAATTCTACTAACCCACAAGGTCTTCTTTCAACTACACATGTAAAAGAACAGGAATGGGAAAAAAAAAACCTAGAATATGTAACTATCTGCAGACCTCAAAGCAACTCTTCTCAGACTAAAAACCCTTTATAAGTGGAAACAAAAATAGTTTTCATTCTTTTTTTTTTTTTGCGGTACGCGGGCCTCTCACTGCTGTGGCCTCTCCCGTTGTGGAGCACAGGCTCCAGACGCGCAGGCTCAGCGGCCATGGCTCACGGGCCCAGCCGCTCAGCCGCAAGTGGGATCCTCCCAGACCGGGGCACGAACCCGTGTCCCCTGCATCGGCAGGCGGACTCTCAACCACTGCGCCACCAGGGAAGCCCCTTCATTCTTAAATTAAGTGATTTGTAGCGATTTCTATCAGACATTTCAGAAAGATTCAAATTTACATGTATAATTCTAAAATCAAAACTGAAAGTCTCGGACTTCCCTGGTGGCACAGTGGTTAAGAATCTGCCTGCCGATGCAGGTGACACGAGTTCGAGCCCTGGTCCGGGAAGACCCCACATGCCGCGGAGCAACTAAGCCCGTGCGCAACAACTACTGAAGCCCATGCACCTAGAGCCTGTGCTCCGCAACAAGAGAAGCCACTGCAATGAGAAGCCCATGCGCAGCAACGAAGACCCAATGCAGCCAAAAATAAATAAATAAATAAAATCTTCTTTAAAAAAAAATTTTTTTTAAAGACCCAACGCAGCCAAATAAATTTATTTTTAAAAAAAGTTTACCCTCAAACTGTCTGAAACCTAGCTTCTACTTAAAATGTGGTTGAGGGCTTTCCTGGTGGCACAGTGGTTAAGAATCCACCTCCTTCAAAAAAAAAAAAAAAAAAATCCCCCTGCCAAAGCAGGGGACACGGGTTCGAGCCCTGGTCCAGGAAGATCCCACATGCCACAGAGCAACTAAGCCCGTGTGTCACAACTACTGAGCCTGCACGCCACAACTACTGAAGCCCACACACCTAGACCCTGTGCTCCACAAGAGAAGCCACCGCAATGAGAAGCCCGCGTCCCGCAAGGAAGAACAGCCCCTGCTTGCCGCAACTAGAGAAAGCCACGCACAGCAACAGAGAACCAAAGCAGCCAAAAGTAAATAAATTTATTTTAAAAATAAATAAATAAAGTAAAATAAAAAGTGGTTGAGAGAAATGACATTTGGATGAGATCTACAAAATGTGCTGTATTTATCTACTCCTCTAGGTTCTGTTTCTGGATCAAGTAATCCACCAATCAATTACTTTGGCCCAGAAGTCACAAACTTGAACATTTGAGCAACCTGATGAAAGACAAAAAGGCTGTTATTGTGTTGACCCAGAAACTGCTCAAAAGATTTACAATTCAAATTTAAAAACACAGTGTTAAACAGTGCTGTGGTAACTGGCTATGCATATAAAAAAATTAGATCCCTGACTCACATCATATACAAAAAAAATTTTTTTTCAGGCAAGATCAAGAGCTAAATATAAAATACCAAATTTCTAAAACTTTTAGAAGGAAATGCAGAGACCTAAATGACCTTGGAGTATGGAATAGATTTCTTAAATAAGGCACCAAGGACACAAACCAATAAGAAAAATGATGACAGATTTGACAATCCTTTCTATTCAACAAACCATATAAAAAGTTAACAGATAAGCCACACAGTCTAGAAAATACCTACAATTCACTTCACAGACATAACCAGGATATGCAATAAACTCCTAAAAGCAATTTTAAAAGGACAACCCAACTGGGGGGGAGAGACAGGGACAGACAGCTAAGAAATAGAAATCTGAATAGTCACTCAACATTTCAACATGCTCAATCTCATAATTAATCAAGAAATATTTTAAGATAATATCATTTCACACTCATCTGATTTGTAAACATGTAATAAATCTGACAATGTCATGGATCTATAAGGATTTAGATAGAGCAATTCTCAAATTCTCATGCTAAAAAAACACAAAGTGACTCAATTCTGAAAAGCAATTTGGCAATATCTGATAGAACTTTAAATTCCCATAATCTCCATAATCTCAAACCCAGTAATTCCACTTCTGGGTAATTTACACCAGAGAACTTCATTTCAAACTGAGTAGCCATACACAGACACACACACACACACACATTTCACAAAACATTTACTCCTTACTGCAAAACAACCTGATATATCTCTGAACTATTTTAATTCCTAAAGTGATTTCATAACCGATTAATGGTTCCCAACATGCAGTTTGAAAAACTTGCCAAAGATCTTAAATACGTGCACAAGGATTTCTAACCAGGAATGTTCAATGCAGCATTGTTTTTAAAACAGGAAAAATGGAAACAACCTAAATACCTATCAACACGAAAATAAATTTAAACTGGTTGTATTTGTATAATAATACAACTATACAGCAGATAAAAGTAATGACTATAACTAGGATGAACCACATGAAACTACCATTTTTGTAGGTCAAAAATGGTAAAAATATCAGCAATTTCATGGGTCTAAAAAAACTTGTTTCATGAAAAACAAGTTACAGAGTAGGTAGAATATTGCTTATATAAAGTTTGAAAATACCCAAAACATAATATTGATTTATGAATATACTCCTATGTAGTAATTATATAAAAACAGGTATTAGAAACACCAAATTCAAGATATCATTACTTCTGGGAAGAAAGTGAAATGTAACCCAAGAAGGTGCTTCAACTGCATGTGAAAGGCTTTTCTTTAAAAAAAAAAAAACAGGTAAGTGTGGGAAAACGCTGAGATCTGATATAACTGTATGGTAGATGTGTGAAGGTTAATTATCTTGGTCTCTGTATTCTCCCGTATGTTTGAAATACGTTAAGAAAAAAAATAGTGTATGTATTAGCCAACGAAAGCACACATCTGCAGCCTAAATTCAAACCAACTGCTCCATAGACAATTTCTTTCATTGGCTTGAAACGTTAACGCATCATCATCACCTTTTTTTAACAAGGGCCTCTAGCCAAAAATAAATAAATAAATAAAATAAAGCTTTATGTAACACCCAATTTAAATAGTTCCTTAAAATCCATCAAGCGAAGATTTATCCCTGGAAAATTGGTTTTGTTCCTCCTTCCAGTTCAGTGCTATATATTTTACCATATTTCCATTTTCATCTCGGCTGCCAAGAAAATTCAAATCCAAATTTTATTCTTAGTCACTGAATTATGCTGCCACTTGGGAAAAGAATATATGCCTTCTCCTTTTCCTCATTTTTCTTTTATATATATATAATTATTATATTTCTGGCTCTTTTAAGTTACAGAAATTCTGCAGTGAAATAAAATGTAAATAAATTCCAAGAAAATAAAAATAAACTTTCTGTTCCACCACGCTAAGGAGTTTTCACCATCATTGCTTCTTCCTGGACCAAAGGAATGGGTATGCAAATACAACTATGCATACATGTTCACGACACTAAAATTTCAGGACATACAGGATTAAAGTCAATATGCTACCAGTGAAAAATAATTAGCTAACATACTAACAAAAAAATGTATACAAAAGAAAACGTGAAGTTGGTCAAAATTTAATAAGCTAATCATTTCTTTCTCTTCAAGACCATTTTGCTTTGTATGCTTTGTTTTCCGGTGCATGGACATTGTGGAAAATTCCTAAGTCCAATAAGAATATGTAACATTACAAGTCATATATAAAGAAAGTTCTGTGGGTTTTTTTGCGTGCATGTGGTCGCCTTTTTAAAAACTTGAAGTGTCCTTTCCCACAGGTATTTTGCCCATGCCTAAAGATATTCTGGCAGTTTTCTGAGTTTGGCTTCCCTTCTCCTTCTGTCTGGAGCCTCACAATGTCTATTGAAGCCAAGCATACCATTTAGGCAGCACACATCCCCTCTAACACATGGTATACCCCAATACAGGAAATTCAAAACCATGGGTTACATGAAACAAATCCCCTAATTAATCCATTCCTTAACTTCCAAAACTGAATACCAAATGTTCTTATTAAATAGGTTTGGTTAATTATTTCCTTACAAACAGGGCCTAGGATGTCAATCACTCTTATTTATCTCATTTTAGAAATGAAGGATAATACAGGGGGACTTCTCTGGCAGTCCAGTGGCTAACATTTTGCCTCCCAATGCAGGGGATGCAGGTTCGATCCCTGGTCAGCGAGCTAAGATTCCCACATGCCTCGCAGCCAAAAAAACCAAAACATAAAACAGAAGCAATATTGTTACAAATTCAATAAGGACTTTAAAAACGGTCCACATCAAAAAAATCTTTTTTTAAAAAGAGATAACATAGAGAATATACACCAAGATGACAATTCACAAAGACTTTGAAAAGATTATTTTTAACAAAGTTAAAGCACTTCACTCAGCAGTAAGCCCAAAACAACACAATCCAATTTAGGTTTTGAAAAGAATATAACATTTACTCACCACCAGGATTACAACAGTTATGAATAAAGTTATATGCTCCTCATCTTCAAGAAATGTATAGTCTACTGGGCAGTCGTCCAGATTCTTTTAACAGGGATGGCAAAATCACGCTGCTTTCCAGGACTAGACAGGGAATCTAAATAGGTGAGCAGCTCTATCTAAGGGGTAAGTATTAGAAAGAACAACTACAGAATGTAGATTTTGCCTAAAGTAATTCTAAATCAACTTCAAAAGAATGCTATCAAAACAAAACACATCTCCCAGTGAGACAGAATACATCATTGCAAGACATGTTTAACTGCCAATCAGATACAGACTGAAAAAAAAAGTTGGAAATGGCATGGAGAAGCTAGACCTCGGCCACATTTCTGGTCAAGAGTTAACATTGCTGTGACTTTTCTGGATGGCAGTCTGGCAATACACATCAAAAAGTAAAACATGCATTTCCTTCAACCCAGTAACTAGACTCTTAGAGAGCTACTCTAAAGAGCCATCAGCACGCAACAACTGTACATACAATGCATACGCATAATATACAATAAATGTAAACAATCTAAACATCCAGCAATAGGAACACTGTTAAATTATGGTGCACACATTCAACAAAATACTAAGAAACGATTTAAACAACAGAGTAGACACAAACGGATTGACCTGGAAAGCCATCATGAGTGTTGGTTTAACGCACACGACTATGAGCCAAGATGGCGCCATGTGCCAAGCTCCCAAGTGCTACTTCCGGTCACACCTGGAAGCAAGATTCCAAGCCACAGCCTGAGAAGGGTTGGCTGGTGTCAGTGGTGTAGCACTTCTGAGAACTGCTCAAGGAGAGCCAGTCTGCAGCCAACTTGTCCAGCTGCCCAGCAACCTGCAAGCAGGTACAGGAATAATAAAGTAGCCCCTCTGGCCTACACTGAGGAGTCCACAGCAGAACATTCACTACAAACCCAGCGTGGGAGATTTTCAAGTTGCAACCAAATAAACCCAGCAAAGACCTGGCAAAGCTGGTGATGTTTATGGCACAGATGTTCTGCCACCCAGAACATCTAGATAACTTTCCTCAAGAACGGAAAGATCTGCCCTCCTACAGCTACACTGTCTTGAATGCAGGCCTTCCAATAACATTTTGCAATACTCTGATCTTCCTGAATACCTCATCTATCCATCAAGGTTGCCAGAGATCTTCTTTGAACCTCGACGCTGCCATGTAAGTTTCTACGACTCTGTACACTCATTCTGTGACTGATGAGAATAAAAGTGCAAAAACAAGAATAAGGTGAATATAGTATTGCAGAATTACACATGCACATGTTAAGGGACAGCAACACAACTGCACCCAAGATACCTTTGGAAGTGATCCCTAAACTACAGAAGAAGCATCTGAAATGACGCCAAGACCGTCAATGTTATCACAACCGTATGCTTCTGTCTCTTTTTTCTGTAATCTTTTGGCTGTGCCGTGCAGCACGTGGGATCTTATTCCCCAACCAGGGATCGAACTCTCTCACTCTGCATCGGAACCGCGAAGTCTTAACCACTGGGCCGCCAGGGAAGTCCCACAACTGTGTGGTTCTCTAAGGTCGCTGCCTTGACATTCTAACAAGGGCAAGATGAACAAGAGGAAGAGGACAACGACCCAGAATGCTAATGCAGCATGCCTTGGGGGAGAGGCTCTAAACACAAGGAAAGAAGGTTACCAACGTACTTCAGAAACAAAAGAAGCAAAGAGTTGGAAGTGTTTAACTTTTCAGCTGTTAGATTCATGAGCCCCAAGAATGTGCACGAAAACCACTAAAGCAGCTGAAGAGTTTCAAGGAGACCCGTGAAGTGAAGTTAGTGCCCCTGGGCCTTACCTCCAGGTTGGCAGGGATTCACACGCTTTTTCTATCTCTTTGTGCACAGGTTTCTGCAGCAGCACCAAGGAGAAGTAACGAGATCCTTCGGTCTGCTGTATACACTTCTCAGCGCCTGGCAGTCGCAGAGCGCATTCCGGTGTTGCTCATGACCATGCCACCCATTCTGTTATGACAAGAACTCTGGGGAAGTCATGACAGTAGGAAACAAAGCTCTGAAAGAGATAACAGCTCAATGACTGAAAAACTTCCTCAAAACCTTGCCCAGAATAATGAAACACAAAGAAAGAATGTGATGATGTCTCCTAGGACTCTGATTCAGTTCTTCCAAAAACTGAACCCTCAGATATTGCAGAAGGAATTCCAGGGTAAGACTACAGAGGCCTCAATAAAATCAAGGGTACAAGAACATGGAGAATTAGATGCTAAAGATTACATTCCGGGAACAGAAGTTCTGGAAGTTGAGCAAGAGAATGCTGAGAACGATCAAGATGGGTGGGGAAACACCAGTCTCAGGGAGGAGGAAGCTGATGCTAAGTGGGTTGATGTGCACCACTCTTCCGATGAAAAACAGCAAGAAGTCTCCGAGAAGCTGAACGGCTTCAGAGAGGAGCCAGAATGTCCCATCAAAAAATAAGTTTTTCTGGGCTTCTCTGGTGGCGCAGTGGTTGAGAGTCCGCCTGCCGATGCAGGGGACGCGGGTTCGTGCCCCGGTCCGGGAAGATCCCACATGCCGCGGAGCGGCTGGGCCCATGAGCCGTGGCCGCTAAGCCTGCGCGTCCGGAGCCTGTGCTTCGCAACGGGAGAGGCCACAACAGTGAGAGGCCCGCGTACCGCAGAAGAAAAAAATAATAATAAGTTTTTCTTCAGAGAAAAGCAGCTGGTGCTACAAGATTAACTTTTGAAAAAGAGAAAACGAAGTAACTTCTAGGCAAGTTTTCCACTCCAAGGAAAAGGCTAAATTTGTGTCATTAATCTGAATGTTAGTGAATAAAGACTGTTTATTTGCATTCAAAAGTCCAGAAGCACTATATTTTGAAAATCACCCAAAAAAGCACACTGCTGAACAATGGTTGGTTTGATCCCATTTTAAAAACTCTGCAACAGGAAAAATGAGCCCTAATATGCAGATTTTAATTAACAATGTAGCAATATTGGTTTATCAATTGTAACAAATACAGCATGTTAATGCAAGGTGTTATCAACAAGGGAAAATGGAGGGTGGATAATATGAGAACTTTCTTTACTATCCACACAAAGTTATGTAAATCTAAAACTGCTCTAATAAAGTCTATTAATTTTTTAAAAACCTACATGTGTAGACAGATTTGCAAATAAACATTTGCATATGCAGACAAAGAGAGAGGAAAGCTCTATATCAAACTTATTAACAGTGGTTTTCTACAGAGAGTGAAGAGCACAAGGAAGAATTTTCACATTACATTATTTCTGGACTGTCTAAAAACTTTCTACACTGAGCAATACTCTAAGAGGCTCTGCAGCACATGGAGAGCCTGGGTCCTGAAACCAGACTGCATGGATTCAAACCCCAGCTCCACCATTAACTAGCTGACAAACTTGGGTAGTTAATCTCTCTGTGCCTCAGTTTCCTCATCTGGAACTAAGGATAATAGTTTTTGTACCCACACAAAGCTGCCGCAGGTATTAAGTGACTTACTCCATGTTAAGCATTGGAAAACTACCTAGTCCATAATAAGTGCTCAATAAGTAGTGTCCTCCACCGCCACCAAGCATCCACTGCGCCTCAGTTTTTTTAAATCTTGACTGGTAAGACAAATCAGGAAAACTTGGCTCATCAAGCCCTTTCTAGTGAGATCTACAATCCAGAGAATACAATGTATTCAACAGCCAAATAAAAATAATCTGAGTTTTTAACAGATTACAAATAAACACTTAGCAATATAAGCCCATTTATATGAAAACAATCACTAATAGATTCTATAAGGATAATCATAAAAACAAACCCCTCTAAGTGCTGTGATTCTGGATAATATTTACTTTCTCCTTTATACTTTACTGAGTCATTTTAATTTTCCACATTGAATATGCATCATTTTTAATGAAATAAAGTAGGAGTCGGCAAACTTTTTCTATTGAAGGCCACATAGTAAATATTTTACCCTTTACAGGCCATAAGGGTCTCTGTCCCAACTATTCAACTCCACTGCTGAACCACAAAAGCAACCAGACAATACCTAAATGAACGCATACGGCTATGTCCCACTGACAATTTAATTTACAAAAACAGGAAGCTGGCAGGACACTGCCCACAAGCAGTCAAGTTTGCCAACTCCTGAAATAAAGAAGGAAACAAAATTGTTTTCATTTTGGAAAACAAAATATAATTTACAACAAAGAAAGTGCATGAGCTAAACTGACATTATTGATGGGGAAAAAAACCCTATTCATTTATTAATATATGGGAATGTACGGACAGAAAAACACAAACTCTCTCATTTAGGCTCTGGAAATCCTCTCATCCTTAGTGCCCCAGTAAGAGAAAACCTGCTAAGGAGCCTAAAGTCTAGATAGGAACATAAACTAGTGGGTAGGCAATCGCAAACAGAAACTAAAAGAAGTATGTCTTTCATATTTAAATCAACTTGAAATTTCTTCAAATTTCATAATAATTCACCAAGCAGCGGCCACCACAGGCGTGGAAGTCCCAACTACTGAGGAAAGGATTTTAGTCTTGGATAATCACAATCGGCACCGACAAATTTGTGAAAGGAGATGAAAACATCTATGGACATCTAACAGCATTAGAAGTGAAATTTCTATGAAATAAACGTTAGAAATGAAAAACTCAGGAATGAAAAATCTATGAAATTCTAACGGAATTAGAGTCAGAGGGTGGTTAAGATGAGACATGCAAGTGGCCTTTGATAGGACACTTCAAACTTCAAAACTGACAAAGTTTCTGATCTCCGCCCCAAAAATAAAGCTTTGGGTTGAAGGAAACTATTCTTAACATTTCACGTGGAACACGGTTTGAAATATTATGACAGATTTCTTTGAGTTTTCAATGGTTTCTCTGGAGGAGGGAAGAAGGACTGTTTTGGGAAGAGCTACGAAGGCTGCGAAGTCCAGAGTCTAAACCTGAAGACGTTAGAAGACCACTCTGCTAAAAAGACGCCAACCCCCTGCAACGCAGCCAGCGTGCCCGATACAACCGCAGCGGGACCGCTCAAGCTTTCTGCTGAGCGACCTCGCCAAGTTGTCAAACCCCAGAGGAGACAGTAAACAACACCCAGAGCCAGCGGTGCCCAAGGCGAGCTCTCGCACAGACGCCCAGACCCACCGAAGCCGGTGAGCAGCAGCCTCAAGGGGCGACACCGACACACGGCAGCCCGACGCCCGGGACACCAGGCCCAGAACGCGGTCCCCCCGGCCGCCTGCGCGCGGGCAAGCACCGGTGAGGGGTCTCCCCGCCGCAGGGGCCGGACGGGGGCCCAAGCGGAGCCCACCCAGGAGTGCGGCCAGCGGAGACGCGGAGGGGCGCTGGGGCCGGGGGGACTCGGGGCGGAGGGCGGACCCGGGGCCGAAGGAAGCCGGGGCCGAGGGACCCGGGGCTGGGGGCGCCGGTACCAAAGGGAGCTGGGGCCGAAAGGAGCCGGGGCTGAGAGGACCCGGGATGGAAGGAAGCCGGGGACCCGGAGCTGAAGGGACTCGGGACTGAGGGGACCCAGGGCTGGGAGTACCGGAAGGGAGCCGGGGCTGAGAGGCCCGGGGCAGAGGAAACCCGGCCCCGAGGGGCGCCGGCCCGGGGGTCGGGCGGACAGAGCAGGGGATGGAGGAGCGCGCTCCCCGCCCGCCGCGCCGCCGGGACACCCGCCCTCAACCCTCGGCCCCGCCGGCCTGGCCCGTGCTCCCACTCGAGAAACTCACCAGAGCTCGCCGCCGCCTCGCCACGCGTCTCGGGTGCCTCGGAACCGCGGCCGCCGGGACCCCAAAGCAGCTGTGGGGCCGCCCGCTGCCGCCGCCGCGACCCAGCGTCCGGGAGGGTCCTCACACCGCCGCCGCCGTGACGCGAATCGCAAGAGGCGGCTCTGGCCAATGAGAGCGCTCCTCGTGCGCAGCCGCGCTGGCCCAAGCCGGAAGCGCCCCGCCAGGCCGCTCCCCGGCCTGGAAAGGCTTGGGAGCCACGGGGGGTGGTCCGCAACACGATCCGGCGGCGCCGAGAGCCCGGGGACACGGAAGTCCTTTAGCTTCCCTGCCTCCGGAGGCGGGAGCGTGTGCAGCGGAAGAGGCGGGGCCGCCCGGCTCGGGAAGCTTCCCGGTCTCTATGGATACAGCTCACACGCCTTGGGCGGAACCGAAACTGAGGGACTGCTAGGCGTAGTCTGTGGAGGCTTCGGACCTAAATCCGAAACATCTTGCCCAAAACAACAGCGTTTGCCTTTTATCACCTCCCGAAGACACTACCATTTGTGCCCCACGACTTCCAGAAAACGAATGTGAGCCCGCTCCTCTTAAAATATATGTAATTCAGAGCGATTTTTAAAATGTTTTAGCGTAATAGCAGGTCAGAAACGAATTCAGCAATAAATACCGTGTCTGTTTACCCAGAGCGAGTCGTTTTCTACTTGTGAGATTCAATTGAGCTCTAACTTCTTAGACCCCAAGATCGGGTTTCGCTACATACTTACTCTACAAGAAAAGGAAGTGTAGGAGTTGGCCGGTGTAGAAAATGTTTTCTTCACATTCCGTTCTAAGAGGGATTTATCACGCTCCACGGAGGTTATATTGCCTTAACTGTCAAAAATCTTGTTATACTGATTAAAGGAAACCCATAAGCTTTCAAGGACATCCATGACCCAGGCCTGTCCCTCCCTGGAACCACACCAACCGAAAACGAAGGAGGCTGGAAAAAGCGTCACAGATCTATCAAAAGACCGAAGATCCGATACACAATATAAGGAAAAATGTTTAAAACAGAGGACCCTCCAGCCTGGAAATGTAAAATCTAAGAAGTGATTAAAGTTACTAAAATCAGAAAGAGCATGAATAAAATGGTCTTAATACTAGTATTTTAGAACTAAGTCCACCCAGTTAAGCTTGAAAGATAAATCAAAGCAGACAAACTTACACTTCGACAGCACCTTAGAAACACCACCAGTGTATTTGCAGAGCGAATCTGACCCGTGTACCGACTCACACAGGGCACAGATGAGAACAGGGGCCTCAGGCTTAAAAAGAGGTCTACTACAGAGGACAGAGCTACATAAAAGACCATTAACTAAGAGAGTGTTCAAATACCTCAAACCTTTTCTGCATCCTCTCAATGATTTTGCTTTGACAAAACAAAGTGCTTTCCTCTGGAACAGTCCTTCATGGGCTAAAACATGTGAGAAAGATCCTTATGATTTTCCCACCAAGATTTTTCCTCTCATTCTCTGTCATCTTGACCCCAGTCCCAGATCACTACTACCAATTCCTGATGCTCCCAGTGATGAAACAAACCCCATCATTCCCTCAGAATGCTCACACCTTCTCAGCCAGTGAAGACACTGACACCATCCCTGAGCTGAAGGACCATCCCCTGAGTCCCACATCCACAGATGGCTTCATCCATATCTCTTACTTAAAGGTCACCATTAAATGTCCCAAAGCAGATATTTCAGGTCTCTCTCCCCAACTGTGCTTCAGTTCATAATCCCTATATATTGTCTTCTAACTAGCAGTCCAAAAACCAAGGGGAATTCGGTAAAATTCTGTATCCTCCAGCACCTCAGAAACAACTGTGTCAGCTGTGGATTTTTAGAATGTCTGTTCCCTCCATCCTAAAGGTGTCACACTTCTCCACAGGAGGGTGGAGTACTTCCTCTTCTGCAGCACCCAGGAAAGAGTCCCTTCCACTCCTACTCCCCCTACTAGTCACCAGTGACCCAACAGTGCCCTGAGGCACAGCTAGTCTGATGTGGTCATCTCTATAATGATCAGATGTTTTTGACAGAGAAGCGCATCACTGGGTAAGTGACATTCATAATCCGGTTTCGGCCACCCCAGAATGAGGCGTCAGTGGTGCTACAGTATATGCTGCAGAAATGGTGATGATGGACTTGCTCTGGGGACAGCCTCAGCCTGCGTTGTGATCTGCAAGTCAACAGCCAATGAGAACTGAAGAGGTAACCAGAGCGACCAGCAAATGAAGGGGCAGCTTTCAAATGCTGAAGGACAGAGAAAACGCTCCAGACCCCATTGTGAATTTAAGCTTGGAGTCCCAACTGGTTTGTTTTGTTTTGTTTTTCTTCTCCAATAAATAAAAGAGAAATTATATTATTTTTCTAATCAGAACAATTGCTATTTTTAAGGAGAAAAAAGAGACAAATCATTCTACTAGTGACAATCAAAATTAGCAGTCTTCTTTGAAAGAACTGTGTCTACCGCTTTCCAGAAAAAATTACAAAAGGAGCTTAACAGCTTCATCATTACGAAATACCTAAAACCAATCTAAACTCTTCTCTTCTCCCGCAGTATCTATAAGCTGCTGAAATATAAACATTAGAACTGAGGGGAAAAAATCTGGACAAAGTGAAAGATGGACCATAAAAAAGGAGAAACTTAGAAGAAAGAGCAAGAAATGTCAAACCAGTCCTTGTGTTTGTCTCATACATATGTTGTAGGAGAGGAAAAATTTCTTTCTACCCTCTTAGGTTCTGCGGCTGGCCTAAGAAGTAAACTGAGATAAGACATTACTAACAAGAGAAAAGCTTATAAATTTAATGTTTTTACATGCACACAGGAGTCTTCAGAAGGAAAATGAAGACCTGAGGAGAACATTAGAGCCAAAAGCTTACATACCTTTTTACATAAAGAATAAAAAATTGTGGGGATGTGGCAAGACAAAGTGGCCTGGACTAGGGACAGTAAATTGGGGGACAATGCCTAGGAAATATATGGGGAGAGGGGAACTCATGGACTATCAGGCTACTTTAGTAGGGTTCTTAGCACAGGTCCATTTTGGTTTAGGTCAACTCCCAGTCTAAGAATGTTCTACAGAATCATCATGTTGCACACCTGAAACTTACACAATGTTAAATGTCAATTATATCTCAATAAAACTGGTAGAAAAAAATAAAGAATGCTCTCTTCCTGGTACAGGGAGTTACCTTTTTCATGGGAAATGTTATGACCTGGTTGGGAGGTAGGACAGAGAACCCTTCCTGTATCTGCTATTTCCCAAGTGCCCTCAGCTCAGAATAATCAGTATGCCAAAGTGGCGTATTTTGGGGTTGTGTGTTCTGTACCCCTTCAGTGTAAAACAAACTGTGAAATGCAGCCAACTAATTGGATGTTTTCTTTAACACAAGCTTTTTATTATTTATTTTATTTTATTATTTTATTTTTATTTTTGGCTGCGTTGGGTCTTCATTGCTGCGCGCAGGCTTTCTCTAGTCGCGGCGAGCGGGGGCTACTCTTCGTTGCGTTGCGCGGGCTTCTCACTGCGGTGGCTTCTCTTGTTGCGGAGCACGGGTTCTAGGCGCGCAGGCTTCCATAGTTGTGGCACACAGACTCAGTAGTCGTGGCTTGCGGGCTCTCAACCACTGCGCCACCAGGGAAGCCCTGATCATATGATTTTTATCCTTTATTGTGTTAATGTGGTCTATCACATTGGTTAATTTGTGAATGCTGAACCATCCTTGCATCCTTGGAATAAATCCCACTTGATCATGGAACATGATCCTTTCAAATGTACAGCTGAATTTGATAGTATTTTGTTGAGGGTTTTTTGCAGCTATGTTCATTAGGGATATTGGCCTATAATTTTCTTTTCTTGGAGTGTCCTTGTCTTATTTGGTATCGGGTGATGCTGGCTTCTTGAAATGAGTTTGGAGGTGTTCCCGCTTCTATTTTTTGGAAGAGTTTAAGCATTGGTATTAATTCTTCTTTAAATGTTTGGTGGAGTTAACCAGTGAAGCCATCTGGTTTGTTGGGAGGTTTTTGATTTACTGATTCAATCTCCTTACTAAAAATTGATCTGTTCAGATTTTTCTATTTCTTCATGATTCATTCTTGGTAGATTGTGTGTTTCTAGGAGAATATCCATTTCTTCTAGGTTGTCTAATAGATTGGTGTATAATTATTCACAGAAGTTTCATGATCCTCTTTTATTTATAATTTAATTTGAGTCCACTCTCTTTTTTCTCTTGGAAAGTCTAGCTAAAAGTTTGTCTGTTTTGTTTATCTTTTCAAAAAATAGCTCTTAGTTTCTTTGATCTTTTCTATTGTCTTTTAATCTCTATTTCATTGATTTTTCACTCTGACCTTTGTGATTTCCTTCCTTCAACTAACTTTGGGCTTAGTTTGTTCTTCTTTTTCTAGTTCCTTTAGGTGTAAAGTTAGGTGATTCATTTGAATTCTTTCTTTTGTCTTAATGTAGGTGTTTACTGCTATAAACTTCCCTCTTAGAACTGCTTTTGCTGCATTGCATAAGTTTTGGTATGTTTTGTTTCCATTTTCATTTGTCTCCAGGTATTTTTTTTTTTTTTTTTTGCAGTACGTGGACCTCTCACTGTTGTGGCCTCTCCCGTTGCGGAGCACAGGCTCCGGACGCGCAGGCTCAGCGGCCATGGCTCACGGGCCTAGCTGCTCCGCAGCATGTGGGATCTTCCCAGACCAGGGCTCGAACACGTGTCCCCTGCACTGGCAGGCGGATTCTTAACCACTGCACCACGAGGGAAGCCCAATGTACCTAGTCGTAAAAAAAAAAAAAAAAAATAGAAAATAGAAAGTGAAATAAAAAAGCAAAGTTTGGGTTTTTTTTTTTTTCAGGGTATAGTTTTATTTTATTACATCAGGGGTCAACAAACTTTCTCTAAAGGGCCAAGGAATAAATAGGTCTTGTTGACTACAGAGTTTCAATCCTATTTAACTACTATTATAGTGAAAAAGTGGCCATAAACAATATGAAAACAAATGAGCATGATTATGTTCCACTAAAATTTTACTTACAAACACTGGGGGAAAAAAAAAAAAGGGGGGAACATATGTATATGTATAACTGATTCACTTTGT